ATATGGTAATTTCTGGATTAATTCCCAAAAAATTTTTTTTGTTTAACAACTGACAAAGCTCTTTAAATCTGGTAGCCAAGGTTCATGGGTATTGGTGTAACGCTACATTGTGGACTGCTGTACAGAGTGGGGACGACGGATCTGTCACCAGCACCTCCTCCCACTTTACCAACTCTATTGTCTTCATGCCAAGATTGTTGCACAGTTCTGAGGTTGTGTTGTACATTGTTCTTGTTGAAAACATCAACACATTCCGTTTCTTCAGGTTTCATGCTTGCAAATGTTCAATTGACCCTGACTGTTGTTGTTTGTTGAGTCATCATCATTCAGCATCTTTGCTGTAATCACAGGAACGACACGAAAAAACCACGTCATTCTGCCACTGATCATGTGTAGAAAGCATTATTCATTTACTTTATTCAAATATAACACTGATAAGTTCCCTGATTTTATTTGGAAAATAATTAAAATAAGACTGAGGTTATGTCTCGGTTTTATAGTGAAGATGTGTGTGTTTTTACCATTCGAGAGTTTGAATATTCGCTTAACGCCACAATAATCAACTCCACAATGGAGTTCATATAATTTTCTCTCTATAAATCAGATTTGGAACAAACCTTAGAGGTATAAATGTGAGTGAGACTTACCTGACATACTGGTGGGGTTCAAGGCCAAGACTTCATCCTCAGAGCCTCCTCAGACATCTGGGTACATACCAAGCTGAAAACACACAGAATAAATCGTCACTCAGGCTGTTCTTATTGTGAATCTATAACAGCTCACAGTAGTTCGAGTCATGCATTTGTGCTCACACGTGGGCCAACCCTGCTGTGAGGAAAAAGTGAAACTAATTGAATGCAATCAGCAATTTTTAATCTTAACATTTTCTGCATCTCAGGGGACAGACACGGAGGAGGGTGCACTCAGGCTGCTCGGGTGAGATGTTTGTCTCTGTGTAGGGTGACATCTAGTGGTCAAATGTAAAAAACACGCGACCTCACAACAGAGTGTGCTGATAAAGGAACAAGAGCTGCACATGTGGGTAACTACTGCTCTATTCACAGCAGTATGTGGGCTTTAATCACGCAGTGTGAGGTTTAATATTCTTACAGCGATACATGATCTGCTGTACACGCACACACACACGTAATATGCACTGCCTTGTACACGTTTGTCCTGAATCAACACTGCTGCCAGTGCACCAGTCAGCAGAGTAACTAATCATAAATAAAGGCTACAGCAGTGGATACACAGTCCGTTTACCAGGATGGAGCTCACAGTCACCGCAGCATCTCCTCTGTCAGAGGGTTTCTGTATATGACACAGATGCAGCGTTTGTCTCCACAAAGTCACACTGTGCATCTGCCTGTACTATAACTGGCTGTGGTAAGCTGAGAGACCAGGAAGCTAAACGTCCTTGACTGTCAGTCCTCGAGACTTCGCCTCCACACTCATCTTGGAAAGAAGATAGGGCAGAGCAACACAACGTCTCACTGTGCACTAATCAAGACCCAGGCTCAAATTACTTTCTTATCTGTGCTGCTGCTTCTCTGAATCGACCTGCGGCATTTGGATACATGCCCTGCAGACAGTATGGAACACTGTTTGAGAGCCATGTTTATAATATTCAGGATCAATTG